CCACGTGACTAGTGTGTAAAACGAGAGGACGGTACACATGCACATGAAAAAGACGTTTAATGACCGTTTATTAATAAACAGCAGTGTCATGCATTGTATTCAAAAACTATAACAGACGGATTCCTTAGTGATTCGTCCTTGAGGAAACGACCGACGAAAGAAATCCATGTAGGGGATTAAGGGGAATCACATCCGTTAGAATAGAACCATTGTGGTGGGAAATTCGCGGAGGACAGCGAGCTATTAACGACTCCGAACAAGAAATAATGCTGAAGATGGCAGTCTCCTTTATGATGGATGCAGGAAGGACCTCTGAAACGCCGGTAAACTTCTACCAGACTACATGGCGCTACAACCCACAAGACAGACATCTTCGGACTCCCCGCCATGAAAACCTCTTCTCCTACAAGAAATAGTGCTGGCAGCGTGTTCTTATGGTATCGCGATTCCACGTATTTCAGAACATTTGGTAAACAGCATCTTTCCGTTTCCATTTCTATTCATTACTCATGAATCATCCCATCATTCGACACTACGTAGTCTGATCCATTGCCAGTGCCGTTAAATAGATCATAAATGAACCGGTTGAACAAAAAGCGGATCTCCTATTTCACTGAAAACAGTTGCTACCTTCCCTCTACGCGTTCATGAATGCATTTTTGTTCAAAAACCCAAAGTCCTTAGGGCAGCCATCAGAAAACATGCACAACAGCAAAAAACAATGGTACTCGAAATACTGAGAAATCTTACTTCCTACTGATATCCTTCCATACGTAGGCTGTTAAATTAAATTACCCAATCATCCGGTTTTATGACTCACGGCATACAAGCACAGACGCACGCTTCCCAGGAAGAAAGAGGCAGGACGCCTGCTGAATCGATTCAGAGCTGACTCAGCCTGTGAATCGAACTGGCATTTCACGCCGGTGAGGCCACATTTGTTTAATACGTGCGTGTCAGGACTTCGGGGAGGCAGACGTTACGATACTGGAACATCTTTATGTTGGATGTTGACATTTTTTAACGCTTAAGTCGGTGCTGAGCAAACGAGACTTCGGCCCAGGAAGCAACGTTACATCAATAAATGAAGTTGAACCTATTCCTATAAAAAATCACATTTCTAAAAGTTCCGTACTTTGGCCAACGCTATTTAGATCTATCTCATGTACAAGATATTTCTATTTCAAAACTGACCTGGCACCAACTCTTGATGTCAGCGAACAAAAACTTATGGCCGCTGAAGACAAGTTGCATGAACTTGCTACTTCAATACGTTCTTAAAACGTAACGTCTGCAAAGAACATCTCTAACACGTAGGGCTTCACAACTACCAGGCGTAATGTCAAAAGTTTTCCTACGGAAAATGCGACTGGAGAAGATCACGACTGAAGTAAATAGAAGACGGCAATTAAATCCGAGCACGCCTGATAAAACGTACTTCGGTTAATCAGCGTATACGATCCGCCTCACACGAAATGGTTCGACACTAAATGGATGTGACAAATCACATTACAGAAGGGCAGTAATTCTGATGACAAATATCTTACACATACACATACATTAAAGGTTGAATGTAATTTTCCACAAAAATTAATATTTGTACTCAACAAACACTGACTATACACTATTGTTTAAAAAAATCGTTCTTAGAAACGACCTTTACTCTACATGCTAACACTATGCGTTAAGGAAAAGAAAGACATACCAGCACAAAACTGCTCTGAAAAGCAGACATTGGCAAAGTTTATAACACGAAGCAATTCCATTTAACCTGTACCCCCAGCTCTTCTTGACACAGGCTGGAAAACCCCTGGGAATGTTCGGAATCCATGAGTCATGCATGGAACAGACCTGAAGAGGCTTTAGAGCCAGGGATACAGCTTCAGAAAAAATGAAATGACCATTCCTCGACTAGTAAAGACACTGTCTTCGTCTTGGAGTTCTGTTGAACTCAAGACAACTTGCAAGGAAAAATACTAACTGCTTTACAGATGTAAATAAAACGCAAAGTGGCCCTTATGCCATAAAGGCGCATGGGTGAGAAAATACAGTTCCACGCATCCTTAATCTCGGCATCAGACAGAGCTTCAGACCATTCCGTTTACCCTCGGGGGAAAGTCTCCAGTAGCAATCGGAAGGAGCCACACACGGTCTGCACGTGGCGGAGAATCGAAGCCCGGTCGTTTAACCCGTAATCTAGTCAACATACTGGATACGTTTCCTCGTAAATAGTTTAAATATATTTCTAAAACTCTTCTTAATACTTCCCAAAGAGACAACATCAAAAAACTGAAGGATATCTTCGCCAAGGGCACATGAAAATTTCGTAAGAACAAGAAGTTCGGAAAGAACTACAAAAGCCTCATATTGTAATTTAATCCAGGTTTTATTCTAGAAATATAATATGTTTTGTATATTTTATGACGAATTACAAAGCTAACGAGTGCTAGTTAATAACTAACACGAAGGTGCGATATGTATTAAAGACCCATCAAGTTCCTTCGTTATCATATTAAACTGGTCCCGTGGAATTACGTTATTTTTCAGTATTTTCGTTAATCGCACATTCAGAGATGTTACATCAAACAAGACGTCGTCAAATACAACGCTGCTAAAAAAATCAAGGTTCATCTCTGGACTCAAGCACTTTTAAGGAAGCATGGCGAACAAGGTCGCTGTGGTTCAGGGCGAGACTAAAGAGTCAAGCAAGCCTACATCAAGATTCCACGCTCAGGGTTACCAACCCGGACACACCTACTTCAACATACGATTCGACAAATGCGTCTTCATGCCCTGTCCTTTATAAATCTCCTCAAAAATGTGAGTTGCACTTCTTGTCAAGCATCTTCAGACATTCTCATTCAAACTCTCATTATTAAAAGATATGTGACTGAATGCAACGTTATTAACGCGAACAAACAAGGTGAGCAAAAGAGATATTTTCACCATTCTAAAAAGCTTCGTGTTCAAAAATGGTCATTTCAAATTGAATACGCATATTAAATTAAATTAAATAAATCCCCGGTACATCCTTGTGCTCAAGCAATGAAGACATGGTGTCATGAAGGTAAAGCTCTATGCAATTATGTAAAGATACTCTCATCAGACTATACAGAAACAAATTATATGTTTACAATGAAAGAGGATATGGCAGGAAGTGGCCATGGCATAATCTACGATACTATTCAGGCATCTGCCTCAAGGGACTGGGCAAAACCACAAAAACCCTGTCAGGATAGTACAACTTTATGAATTCTTAACTTTAGCAATAGAAGTGAGTTGCCATATTTCATTTACCCCACACATGGTAGTCCCAACAGTCCTACAAGGAACCAAACAAGCATTATTAATATTCACGCTTCATACCTGAAAGAATCAGACTTCACACAAGAAGAAAATTTAGAAAAGCAAGAAGCCATTTACCTCAATGGTTTAAATACTTACATGGAAACACTTTTGGTGTGGACAAGTAGTAACAAGAAATTTGTTTAAACTTAAAAGGGCAAACATTATCTAACTAACATTTAATAATATAGTTACCACCTCAAAGAAAACATATATACAATATATCAGTGTTTAATAGCATCTAAAGTTTTGTTCTTTGTGCTGAGAACCAACTGTAACTCATAAAGGAACTATACTGGTGACATGCCATGTCACTTAACACTAAAACCAAATGCTATACATATAGTTACCACTAACACATAACGATATTCTCCTTTTAACATCCTTTCCATTTTATACAGGTCAATGGAAAGGTATTATTATAATACTTTTCTTACAACCGTAAATTAAATAAGACTATATATAATGCACAATGCAGAAACACAAATGACAGCTTCACTGCTGTCAGAACCTCTAGTCCCATAAGCAATAATATCCCTACTGAAATGTTGGGCATGCCTCATTCAACATCAAATACCTATAGAACCTTATTTTCTGCACAACATTTTAAAACACAAGGCAAAATCACATAAAACCAAAGGATACCATACACTATTACACACGAAAACAACAGAGCCAATTATCTTTTATGGAACTGCACTTACAAAAGATGCAGAAATAACAGCAATCAACCTCAATTTCTGTGTATCTACAAACCTCATAACATCAAAACCAGTTCATTCAAAATATCATGTCTTTGATGTAAATAAATGCAGAACATACCTTCATCTTGCTTACAATTCACATAAAAATATAATACCTCTTTCTAGCAATCCAATTTTAACTGTGCGCTACCTTTTAATTCAAACGTAACACGCTGGGGGCCTCTTATACTTATCAAAAACAAACAGGATCTGAAACTGATTCGACGGCATGTAACATCTATACGTCATGTCTATTTGGTCAACTGTTACTTGACTTACAGTGATAACAGGTAAATCATGATATCTGTACATGCGTTAGACGTTATCATTACAATACAATAGTCAGACAGAAAAATCGAAAATCAAATATTTCAAAAATACAGAATATTTATAGAAATTTTAGCGACAGTACTTGAGCAAAACTAGTTTATGTGCCCATCTTGGCTTATAGTACAATACTTAGAGTTAACATGTGTCAGAAGTGCAACAAAAGTACAAAGGCCGTTTCGTCTTACAATAAAGAAAGGAATTTTCCCCCAGGGTATGCATACGTTCATCACATAACGACCATGGGTCTCCATGTAACTGAAGCAAAAAACAAATGAACAAGGAACTCACCCACAGTTCTGTTCCCCAACTCATTTTCGAACCAAAAACAACGCTACTGTTCACTATTCCAACACCTTTCTTTTGCACACACGAAACTGTAAGAAACAAAATTCACCATTAACAGCAACTGACATTCACCATCTAATCTTCAACATGGCTGACTGACTACTGCTAATACTAGGAATTCTGGGAAGAAAATGCACCGCCTGCTATATTCATCTCAGTCCTGCCATACTAATTTATAAAACATGAAAATCCTGGTTTCTGTGGTGGTAACACCGTCTACGTTAAAGTATATTCCTCTCAAACGTTGGTAACAATCTACAACAGAACTGCAAGTAATTACGAATGAAGGTGTCAAAATTAACCTATTACCAAAATGGAAAATTATGTTAAGTGACTAAACTGGTCCGGGTCTTGATTGGTAATAAAATATAATTGTGTAACGGTAACGAACGAGTCAAAATATATATAGAAAGGAACTAATCTGTCACAAATTACCTTTCTCCCGAACCAGTTATTTCTTGCTTGCTGTTTCTAAACTCACAACACATCCATGCTGTTCCTCCAATTTCCGGAAAGAGGAGCACTTGGAAACTACCATATACTCTACCTCTTAAACTCTGATATAGTAAACTGAAAACATTTAAATTTACTTAATTTAGAAAGTACTTGCAGGTGCTGGGTGGAATTTTGTTGTGTATGCCAGTTTTACTCACACTGTTGAGGAGAGGCATGGCAGGTGGTTACACAGCAGGAACTCATTCTGTTGTCTATGTAACAGCACCTAGTGAAGATGTGGCAAAGAAGCTTGCTCAGTGAGTATAGCATTATAGTTCATCATCTTATTTTTAAGTTTGACATTGATTGTGATTATTATAAAAGGAACCAAAACGTAAAATTTCCCCTGCACCATAGCACCACAATATGTCCTAATAGGCTTTGTTTATTAAAGAAACGTGACTTGTTTTGGTTGAGTTCTCTAGTCATCTCTTAAGAAGCCATGCTACAAAACTAACTTCCACCTGCAGACGTAATCTTGAGTCTTCATGGTTTTCCTCAGACCAAGACAGGTGTCAGGATAATACCTTTAATTCACAACACTTATACATCCTTTCCCAATCATTATTCACTAAACATTACATCATTCAACACTGTATAATTGGAACTACTGACAGCATCATTAAATAAACTGTAAAAAAATAAATAAATATACAAAATGTACATGTCACTAATTTGTATGATCATTTTCAGTGGTATTGTGACAAACAAACTGGCAGCCTGTGTTAACATTACTCCCAAAATAATTTCTGTGTAAGTCAGTATTTGTATTTTGTGCTGGAATCTGAAAACTCATAGTACTGCAGTTATATATATATATTTAATCATTTTTATTAATTAAAACAATATTTCATCTACAGGTATGAATGGAAGGGAGAAATCAATGAAGACTCTGAAGTGTTAATGGTATGTAACTGTTATAGTTACAGTACTAAACAGAATGAGATTATCTAATAATATAATTACATATATTAAGGGTAGACTGATGTTTCAGGTTACTTATGAAATCCTCCTCATTCTGTATGACACAATACACAACTGTGAATTGTGTATATAGTCTGCTGTTGTATATTTTGAGTTTATTTTTCAGATGATAAAAACCAGAACGTCTCGAGTTGATGAACTGGCACAATATGTCAGGTAAATCTTAAACGAAACATTTCAAGCAGTCATAATAATACATAAGATAAGCCTCTGCCTTCCAGTTTGTAGAAGCTGTGTTGCAGATTGACACACCTTTTTATATCTTTATGATTTTCAGATCAAATCATCCTTATGAAGTATGTGAGGTTATCTCTTTACCAGTAAGTATCACAAGATTTGCTACCAATATTTTGTTCCATGCTTTATAGTAGTGATGCACAAATTTTAAGGTTGAAATCAAAATCTTATGAAGACCCTTGGAGGCACAATTTGCAATATCAGAGATAATAAAGATAGGAATAGAATAAAAGAGTACAAAAATCTTCAAAGTACAGCTATCCCCAAAGCTACTGATATATCCCTGAAGATGTATATTTAACTCAAAAGGATTTTTCTTTAAAAATAATGTAGAATGTGAAGGTTACATTTCCATGATTCTTTTTTAAATGGGTGATATGATTTGTCACCAAATTAATCCCTACTGTTACATTGTATCTTTTAAGCGTACTGTATTTCAGATTGAGAATGGAAACCCACCATACTTAGACTGGATTGGAGAGACTGTTCCAAAGAAATCATAACTTCAAAATGCTATACATTGTCATCAATGAGGAGTTTTTATCAAGTGAAATAGCCTTTTTATAAAAAACTGATGTCAATATCAAAACATGAAAGAATAAAGTTCTCTTCCAATGAAACAGCTTTATTATCTGGAAATACTTACTTCTCTTTGTGATACAGAATAACCACATTTGCAGAGTTACTGGACTGGCACTATTAATGAGACCATTCCTCTGTCTAAGCCCAAAATTCACATTCTGATCTGGAAACGGCCAGCTTTTGTGATGTACTTGACACCCTTAAATGGCTTATACTTCTCACCATACATATCAAGGCGATTCACTTTCAGTCCTGATACAGCCAGCTGGCTGATGATGAATTGAACCTGTATATTAAAAATTGTATAGTACACATACTTATGTAATGACACTATATAAATGCATAACTATGTTAACAACTAATGAGACTGATTATGCACAGTACACTGGAAAGGAAAGGGGAGAAAATGTTCTTCACCTGCTCCCAGCATTAACCTATAATTACAGGGGGGTGGGGAAGTCTGGATAGCCAGTGCACCATCCAAGATTCAAACCGAGTATGAGAACATGGAATCTTTTTGATCTCTCAGCATATCCTGTAATGACCCTGGAAAATGGTTAAGCCACTCTGATATTCTATTTAAAATTTGTGTAGATCAGGTCTCCATACACAAATGGAGCACCTGAAAAGATCTTTTATATACAAGTCCCATGAAACACTGCCTGGATTTCTCTTCACAATTTAATGTGTAAATGGTCACAGAATATCTTAGCCACATAATGTAGGGTCCTTAAATTCTGTGCTGTTAAAAGATCTTCAAATAATATACCACTTTTATTAAGCTTTTCTTAAAGTAAAATAATAACAGATGCATAAAATCAATATTTAACTATCCACTTGATAACAATGACAGATGAAGCACTACAGCAAAGAATATGAACTCAATGAGTATATCATAAATATATGTACAAATTTTGTATGATACTTTGTTTATACAATAAAATTACAAACACATAATGAAGTAGCAGATATGCACAGGAACAAGCCACTAAGGTGTATAATTAATTAATTTATAATTCCTGCTAGCTTAAGCACTAAAAGAAAATAAGCATCATAATTATAACCTTAACTTGTTCCTTCTGCGAAATGAAGATAAAAGTAGTCCTGATTTCTATATACGGTACTGTACAAAAGCACATTTTACTACTGCTACATAATTAATATATTATTAATGTAATATGCATATATTGCAAGTGCAAGATTTTTCATATATATTAAACAATACATGACAAATAGAGAAAACCAAGGAATCTACTATCTACAGACATAGTCTTTCCAATTTACAAGAACTTCAGTTATACATACATTGATTGCTGGATTTGATTCCACAGCAGGAGCACCAGATTGGAGATTGATCTGTAACATGCCCATCAAACAATTATATTTTGATCTTAATCTTGATGGTGACTACAGTCCTGATACTGCAGATGACTCACCGTGCCACGTAGACTGGGCAGCTTTGCTGTATCAATACGCCCGACATCCCATATCAGGACTTTGCTGACAGGATCAAATGAGTATTTCCCTTGGTTTGATATTAGGCTGCAGTTGAGGACTGCTTTTGGCATAGGTATCTCAATGATAACAGATTCAACCTAAAAAACAAAATACATATATAAAAGAATTAATACAATTAAAAACATCTCGTTTTGGGTCCACAGACAAAGTTGAGGACGAACTTAACATCAGAAATCCAGAAAATATTCAGTTACAAACAGCACAATTGGAAAACTTGTTCTATGGTAGATAAAACCATGTTTATTTCATTGGAGCATCTAGAAGGTTTAATTGGTCTAAATTCAAATACTTACTGTTCTACCTATGGTCTGTTTTGGTCCAACAGTGATGTCAAGACGCCCACCACCAGCTTCACGGAAGGATATGTTATGTCGCACATATATTGGAATGGCCACTATATTTTGTGATCCAATATGATACGACATTAACCGGAAGTTTCCATCAGGCGGAATGAAAGACAAGAATCTCTCAGACTGTAATCACATCCATAGTATATTCAATACATGTATGAACATGAAATCTGACAGACTTTACACTGAGATACTATAGACAAGATCAGCAACTAACCTATTCCATGGAACAGAATCTTTCTGAAGAAGTTAACAGCTATTAAACTTCTTTTATGGAACATAAAGGTTCATTACCATGTCCACAAAAACCAATCCAAATTATATTTTCCTTAGATCCATTTTAATATTAACCTCACACCTCTGATTGGTCTCTTCCCTTCAAGTTTCCCAGCCAAAATTTTGTGAATATTTTTCATCTCCTCATGCAAGCCACATGCCCCACCCATCTCATTCTCACTGATTTGATCATCATAATTATACCTGATGAATAGCATAAAGTACGGTGCCCCTCATTATGGAATTTTCTCCAGCTTCCAGTCACTTGAGTTCAAATATTCTCCTAAGCACCCTTTTCTTCCCTTGTAACAAGAGTTTTACACCCATATAAAACAATAGGTACAATTATAATTTTGAATATTTTAATCATTACATTACTTCCTTACTTTCATCTAAGACTGGATCTACATTTTTACAATATTTACATTTTCATGCAATAAATTAACATTAGCACAAACCAGATGAGGTGTCCCATTCAATTCTGAACTTATGAGGTGGTACTAAGGTATCATAAAACTGTCTCATGACCGACTTTTGCAATATAGAAACTTGGCCACAAAAACTAGCATAATGCTGGTAATCTGGACCTTAGATGATACTTAAAGAATAATGTAAGTCACTACAAAGCCTATCCTCCAGAATGACATGTACCATAATCTACATAAATCACTATAGAAGGTTAACAAACTCACCTCCCATCTCTTGAAGCGAACGCAAGGATGAAAACTTACATCATCAAATAAGCGCGGGTTCATGAAGGACAATGTGAGATCAGGCATGCCACTCAGTTTTATGCAGCAGTCAATCTGCAGAATAAGGACATACTCATGATATTTTGGTTAATGTAATATGTAATAATGATGTGGTAATGAGAGTTTATGATGCCATGTTGTGAGTGAAGTTATGACAAGTACTTGGCTAGGATCTACAGCAAAATCCTATGGAAACTTTAACAGAAGCAAAATACCACACATTTGTTAATAGCTTGTGGCAGTGATGTTACAGCCATGGATAAAGGTAAATATAAAGGAAGTTTGCCACTGTGTTTAAACACTAAAAATTCAAAGCAGTGGAAGTAAAGCTTCATGCATTAACATTAGTACTAGAGGGAAATGAATGGCCAGTTCTAAGCTCTGTCATACTCTGAGGGAAACACTCCACAGCACCAACTGAATAGGAAGCTGGATTGAATCATCCAATAAAAATATTTAGACAATGTAACCAGAATTTGAAAGTAAATATATAATTACAGCGTGACAGATTACTCCATATATTTATCTCTAAAGTATCACAGAATATTTCCATCAAAATCATGAAAGAATCAAGTACAACCATGAAAATAATAAGTGCAGATCACTTTAACTGACAGTATCAGAAAGTAAATAGAAAAAAACTGAAAATGTGTTATGTTTAGTAACAGTGTAGCACATGTATGTAAGTCCACATTTCTGACTTATAATTTGGATGATAAACGTCCTTTCTGACAGATGGTCTAGAATGATTAATGTGGAATAAATCTGTAGAAATAAATGTCAAAAGAAATGCATTATAGTTTTCATGAATTCTCTAAGTTCAAACCACTTTTTGAGAGCAGTTCATAAAATTATGAAACTACAGCTTGATTCACATGATCCAAATTCTATATTAAAACATATATTTGCATGATAAGTATTTAAGGGTGAAACAAAAAGAATAACATTGGATATCTTCTGGATTCAGTCCTATATTTTAAGGTATTTCATATAAGTTATGACATCAAATGCACTTTTTAAAGTAACTACTTTATAGCAAAATAGAATAGCAATGTTATAAACTTCTAAGTTCAAGAAGTCTTAAACTTATGAAATTGGTATAAAAATTTAAATACTTCAAACAGTGGTACAAAGACTGTATATGTACAGTATTAGTTAATGATAGAATAAAAAGACAAATATTCCAGGTCAAAGGCAAAGAATTTAATTTTATGGTTATTTTCTGAACTACACATAGATGACTAGACTGCTGTGCTGTACTTCATGAAAAGGAACTTGAATGCAATAATTCCTCTTTTATATAAAATTTGTTATGAAGTATTTTGTAATCTTAAACTGGTTTTCATTGGGACTTATAATATAGCAAAACAATGAATGGCCATCAAAATCTGTTGGTAGGATGAAAGGTGAATTAAATTACTGGTATGCATTAACATTTGAATGAAATACAAAATGTTTCAATATTACTCTTACATATCCCTGTATTTCAGCAAAGACTGTAGATCCAGCTTTATCAATGATGGCATCTACTTCTTCCACAACATCAAAGTAAGCTTCATTATTAGTGTATTTAACACCAGTCCGACGCCATGGCACATTTGACAACTGACCACTTGGCAGTGTGGCACTCACACTATAACAACATTTTAAAAATTATATGAATGTTAATACATCAGGCAATTAATTACAAAGTCAATAGTACAGCATTAAAATGTGAATCACCACTATTCTCATTCTTTCAGTTTTTATATGTATTGTATTATTATGACTAATTCCACATCCTATTGTCATCAGACTACCTTATGGATCCATGGACTGCAATAAAGATATCCATATGTAATTATGATAATGACATGAGTGCAACTGTATGTATCTTTGCTAAACTTACTTGGATTTTCCTGTTACAGTATTAGCTATTGTTCTTAGGATATTTGGTGGCTTGATCAGTTCCTTCAGAATGTTTGATTCTGTAGCCAGTGGAAATCCATTGTCTAACATTTCATCAAGAAGCTGAAAATATTTGACAATGAATCATACTGAGAGATTTATACACATAAGGAACATAAATCACTTAGTAGTTGGTTAATTAATTCTAAGCTATTTAATTATTGCTGAGGTTATCTAGCATTCAGTAAGATGACAGGATGATTAAGTACTCTTTTCTCTGTGTGATCTGAAGCTTTCATGGTGACTAAGTTATAATGAATTCTTCTCAGGCTACCAGCTATGTCAGGCTGACATAGCTGGTAGCCCAAGAAGAATTCATTACACTCTTTTTCATATATAACACTACAACAATGGTATCATTAAATTACAATAAAAATAATATCTCTTTATTTTACACCAGTAAAGTGCCCTGGACTTTTGTGCATAAAACTAATCATAATAATATAAAACTACTGACTACCCACAGCAACATATCTCAGATGTCATGGACAACAATTCATTTCGTAGTATGCAGTTCATCTGATAAGATGCATATAAATTATGATGAACTAACTGTATTAAAGTTTATCATCCTTACCTCATATACTACAACATAGTGTTCTTTGATAATTGACTCTGTACATTCACTAAAGTAATCTTCAAATGTGTCCACAACTCGATGAAGAAACTCAATAACAAACAATGGAGGAACTGCAAAGTAAAATACATATTATTAAAGAGGAATCAGCTATTTATATTTCTCCGAAACTAATATCTATGATGACTATATTCTTATCCCTGTTTTTGTTGGTATTCATGTTTTGTTAAAACTGCTCATACTTTCCCACTAATGATACAGTTATGTATGTTCACAGTTTTACTCGTGTCAAATTTAGGAAGCAAGCAGAACAGTCATTACTCTGTCTGGCACAGGATAAGAACATTATTTTGTCAGCATAAAAGTGGAAGTAATATATCTCAAATATCATTTGAAATCCAAAAGAAGACTGGAAAAGTTAAACTGAAACATAATATCTTGAATACACAAACATCACTTGCAAACTCAGTGTCTGTAAATTTCATGAAATAAAAACAACTAACCTTCAGTCATACAAACAGCAACAAAGAACATACAGCATCGATGGATACTAATTAGATAATGATGTGGTGTTGCAATAACTGGTGGCATATCTTCAGGGCTTCCCACTTTTCTCTGCTGATCAAAGAAATAGTCACATACTGATCGTGAT